ATATTATCATAGGAGAATAAGTGTTATTGTTATATATTATTTTTTTGTTTCGTATAATGAAAAAATTTTTTGTTGCAATTAGTATATCTATCGAAGTTTACTTTACTTAAAAATTAAATCGTTAAAAATGGGATATAATATTTTTAATTAGATACGTATTTATTTCTTAGATTATAGATTCTTATACGTTAGAATGAGATTAAATATTTCCAGCAGAAAATTAATCTTACAATTAATTAAATTCACACGACTCATCTCTTCGCGTACAATTTCATCTCTAAAACGGAAAAGTTTTCATTTCACCTAACGTACGTATAACAACAAATCCCTTCTATTATTCATTAAAATAAAATCCAAGCTACGACAAGATCCGCCCAAACCCAATGTACCTCTCTAAAAAAAGTATCTCTAAAAAAAAAAAAACTCTTTTTTCTTCCAATCCAGACATCGCAATCTGCCCTCCAATTAAATTTCAAAACCTCTGTTTACCGAAACTACAACAAATTTTCCTCCTTCCTTCCTAGTTCGAGAAATACTCGTGCAAAATATTTGTTCCTTGAGACTTACCGATCCAGAGATCCCGGGATTTTTGCAGTTTCCGTACGTGCGCGTAAACCAATCCGCTTCGGACGTCGGACGTGTCGGGACTGTGTTATATTATAACGTGGGGGCGCGAGAGGCGGAACGTATAACAGAAACGGTGGATTTAATTTCACGCGTCTATCGCGTGTGCTGCAAACGAATTGCACGTCGAAATGGGCGCCATTTTCCTCCCTTCCCCGCTCCTGGGCACACCTGAAGGAAGCATTTATAATCCGGGGATCATCCCTTGCTTGACACGTTCCGAGGGGAAACTGAAACGTGTCGATTGATGATTCGTGGATTGAGGCGTGGTTGAATGACATAAGTGGAGTTTGACAAGCATTTTTTTTTTTTTGTGATTTTTCTTCTTCGTCGGGGAAAGAGGGGAAAAAGAAAGGAAACGAGTCATGTTTTTCCAATAGTTTCCAGTAATTTATTGAAGATATAGAATTTATAGAAGATTTTATTATTTTATTTATTTATTGTTTATTTGTTTAATAATCGTATGGATTAACGATTGGTATAAATTGTATATTAAAATAATAATTAAAATTTAAATTATGCAAAATCTAAATATAAATATAATATATTCGTGGGATACTTTTGAAGAGTCGATTTTAAAGGCCAAAACAAACGCAAAAGTGGGAATAAAAATAAAAATATCGATTATTTTTTTAAATTAATTCGAGTCGAAATTCGTATTAGATTAAATAGAAACAGAATAAGATGAATGCATCTTTGTTACTATCACGCAAACTTCAATTTCTTATTAGAATTTAATAAATAAGTATACATTTTTTATATTTCTTTCGGTCTTTAGAATCGATTTTTCAAAAACTATATTAACACGGCGTATATTTTTATTATGTTTCTTAATAGAAATTAATGTTAAAAGAACTTAAATTAATATGTTTTCTTAACATTTTCTCATTAATTAATATATAATTGCAATATTATTACTATATATTATTGCAATATTATTATGTAACATTTTGTTATATATTTAGAAGGATCCAATTAGAGATATTATTTCATTAGTAGGTAAATTTAACAAATGGTCTCCTTACGCAAGAAATAGCTCCTACGTGGAGAAATTTCTAAAGGGATGTCCTCTGGGGAGGTGTTGATTTCAGAGCTCTTTGTTTCGCGTCGAAAGGAACGGAAAGACCTGGCCGCACGGTGAGAAATAACGGTGACAGTGGGAAATCGTTCGGAAATACTGTTTCCCGGATCCTCGTGTCCTCGTGGAATCTGTTCGAAAAAAAATCGTCCTACCTTTCTTATACGTCGAAACAACGATATATTGCGACCAGATACAAAACCCTATTTCATAATCAATTATAAAATTTATTTACAACTTCTTGAATACATTAACAACTATTTTAAAATAAATTTTTCTGCTAGAAAAATAATGATCCTCTCAAATCAAAAATTCTTAAATATCCTTAAAAGTATACTATTTCATATATTCTCAGTATATCAAACAAATATCCAACATTTCAAGAAATCCAAACCTCACTCATCATCTCAAACCTGATCCGATTCTTTCCTCTGAAATCTTTAAAGAAAGAAGAAAAATTTCATCGAGATAATAAAAATTCCAAATAATATACATACATATATATATATATACACATACACACATGTATATTTCGTTATCTGAATTATTCATCGTGTCGCGGGTAATCCCATATACCCCTCGAAACGTACGAGGCCGAGCGGTGCTTAATTCAAGAGACACGTTTTGGCTCCCCGAGTGGGTCGTTAGTCGGATGCATCACGTGCGCGGATTTAAAGGGCGGATCCGCACACGTAGGTGCATCGAGTGGGTTAGATCGCGCGCCGTGGCGCAGAGGAGGGGGAGACGGAAAGAGGGAAAGAGGGAAAGAGGGCCGCTCGATCGCCGCGAAATGATTACGCGAGCTCCCCTGATTATTCCTCCGAATGGAGCCATCTTTCTTCCGGCATGGAGGCAGCTCAACCGAGGGAGGTCGAACCGAAAAGGGTGGAAGGCGAGAACGTTCGTTTGTCTGGCTCGAGAGCGGAATCGCGCAGATCCAATTTCATCGGAGGGAGAGGGGCCCGTCCGTTCGTCGGCTCGTTCGTCCTTCCACAAGCATATTTACAGGCGCCTCGATGCACTCCAATGGCGTTTTAATCTGGCAAATGCATTCTGCGCACTTTGGCCCGCGGGCCTCTCTCTCTCTCTCTCTCTCTCTCTCTCTCTCTCTCTCTCTCTATCCGTTACCTACCTCCCTTGCGTTCGCCGTTGATTCGCTCGTTTCTTCTCTTTCTCTGTCTTTTTGGCGGAAGCCGGTTGATGGAGCGAACTTTTTCTATCGAGAGCAACCAGGTCTCGTCAAAGTCGATCCGTTTCAAGTCAAAAAACCGAATTTTTTTTTTTTTGGAAATGAATCGTTGTTCCACTGAATTTTTTCCGGTATATATATATATATTTTTTTTTTTTGCTTTTTTTTGCTAATATATCGATAAAGATTATTTAATAAAATAATCTTTTGAAAAGAGATGGTTTATTTTTGGTTTATTTAGATTGTTTGTAGATAAACGTTGTTCAGAATTTTTGGCGATCTAGAAATATTTAGAATTTTGGCAACAGTTATTTATTATATATATGTATAATATAATATATTTTTTAATTATTGTGAGAAAAGATTCCTGAAAACATGTGTGTGCCGATTCAAAATCAGTAACAGGAAATGATCCATCATCATATGAATTTTCCTCCTGGACAATTCCTTTCTGTGATACAATGACGAAGTAGTGATATTTCAATATTAACAATAAACAATTCTTCTATATGTAAGATTATAGAGAGAATTTCGATAAAATCAATCTCTTGAGAGAAGAAATTTCGCCGATAAAAAAAAATCATCATGAGAGTGTTATAAAAAATAGAAATTTTAATTTTATTTTTAAATTATGTAGCAATAGAATCGAAATAAGAAGAAAATTCTAAAAATAAAAAAAGCACGAACAAAAACTTTTAGCAGGAATAAATAGCAGATCTTATCTCTTCTTCTCCTTTTTTTCAAACATCCATCCTTTTTTCACCCATCCACCGTGAAGATCGCATAATTAAATCTCCCGTTCGTTTCTAAGATTCCCAACAACAAGATTTCTTCCTCATCTTGTTTATAAGAAGCGTCAGTTCTATTCGTGAGTTGAAAAAATGTTAAGTCACTTCTCTGGAGACACGTGAAAACTGAGTGAAAATAACTGGAAGGACGATATTCTTCTCGGGGAAATCTTGATCTACCTCTCCACCCTCTTCCACCCTTTCCCCCCACCACTTTCTATTCCCCTCATTCCTCTATCTTTCTCCGGATCATTTTCAATTTATTTCTTCGCTCCTTCTTTTTCCTTTCTTTCCTTATTTCTTCCAACATTTTTTTTTGTCTCTTTTTTTCCATCCTCCGTAGGAAAGTTGAAGGGAATATACTCTTTGAAACGATACAGATAGAGTAGGACCCCCAGGACAAAGATCTCTCTGGGGGTAGTTGATTAATGGATTCTTTTCTGCGACCGATGTACGAACGACGGGAAAAAATTAAAGAGGATAAGGAGAGGGGGGGAACGATGGTTGAAATTGCAACGCTATTCCACACGAAACACTTCGATCGATTAATTGGAATTGTCAAGCGTCGTGAATCATTCGTTCTCGTTGTTTAATCGTTTTTTGATAGTAATCTCGGAGTTACCACTAACTGAACGATCGTTTGATTATGTATATATATATAGGATTTATATATATGATTTTTGCATCTTATTTCAGCTGTTCAGTTTATTATCGACTCTGGAAACGAGTCACTAAACGCTGATGCGTCAGTTATTCGAAATCCTATTTCTTTCATAGTACATCTTAGATATATATATCGCGCAAGTTATTGGAATTCTTTTATGAGATTCTTAGAACTCATAGTTGAATGAGGACAATGATCATATTGGGGTGTTTTAGTTTTATCTTGAGGAATTACACGTTGCTTGAGGAATTGAATCTCTCTCATAAAACTAGGATTACTTTTTTTTTTTTGTAGAGAATTAAAATTAAATTCAAAATTGAAAGTGTGTAATATAAACTTACACGTTATCCAAGTAAGCAATCCATATTTTTTTACGTATATTCAAATTATATTATTTATTTGAAAAAAGATTATAATTCGTTATAATCAGTTTTTCATTTTACTTAATCTTAAATTAAACAAAAATATCTTGCAAATATCTTCAACATCTACCCTTACCCTTATTTTCCTCTTATACTTCTTTCACGAGATCGAGACCTCTCAATCGATCCTCTTCCCCTCCTCCTCCCCTTCCCTCTTCCCCCAAGCAAGAAACAAAATCGTCCCGTTTGTTCTTCATTGGTCGTTCAATGGACATTCCACTGTTGACTGTTGCAGACTCGTGAAACAAGGGGAACCAACGACGCTGCACGAGATCGATAAAGGCGATAGGGTAACGTTCGAAAATCGTTCCGGCCGGGAAGCATCGTAGCTTTCCATCGTCCCTAATTGACAGGTAGAAAGAGGAGGAGGGGCGTGTTGTGCAGCAGCCTCTCCGCGGAGGAGAGAGCAGGAAGAAAAGAAAAGACGACGCGCACGACACACGTTAAGAACATCGTGGAGAAAAGCTAGACAAGGACGAAAGGGAGAAGAAGAAGAAGAAGAAGAAGAGAGGACACGAAATTTACGAGTGAACCGGGTTTACTTGCTTGTCTAGGAGGCAAACACGCCGGGTATATCTTGAGCCAGTCGTGTGCCGTAACAAATGACGGCGCCGTAAAATCAGCTAACCGTGGAACGGAACCGGAAGTGGAGGCCGGATTTTCGCGAAAGTTTCAACGGCGCCTGATAAAAAATTCCCCTCCGAGTTGACTTTGGACTTGAGTTTTCCAAAAAAAATTCGCAACATCCAGCGTCCATCTTGAACCGAAGACTCTTCGTCCTTGAAAATTATTACCTTTCTTTTCCACGATATAGTCGCGATATGGTCTCGAACAAACAATACCGGGAGAAATATTCGTCCATATTTATCGATTAAAGGAGAGAATGTCGAGGATCCGGGGCACCGATCGCTGAGAAAAAAGAAGGAAGTGAAATCCGTCGAGGGGGGAGAGGTTGGGCCAAATGGGTTAAAAATCGGATCGCGATGGACGGCGCGACCCCGTGCTGCTCGCAAAATGGTGATCGTGCTGCCGTCGTGGAAACGCAACAAGTGGCGATCTTAATTCTAAGTTATCATCGATGTTTTCGAAAGGACGGGCCGGATTCGACGATCCAGGATCCGCCGTTTTCGATCTGAGCTTCGAGTTGACCTGACCCTCGAGCCATCATCAACCCTCTAAAGTGACAAGAGAAATATCGAATTCGAGGATTTTTATTCGTATCTTTAGTCGTTCAGCAAAAATTCCGTTTTATCGAGACGCTGGGATTAATTCTCTCTCCTTCTCTCTCTCTCCTCTCTCCTCTCTGCGTGATAGAAAAATCCAAGTATCGAAGGAAATTTTCAATTAATTCCTGTGTTTGGGAAAGAATACTCGATCCCGAGATTATTTCGAGTAGGGGAGATCGAGGTTAGATTGCTTCTCTATTAATCTTCGACGAGAAGGTTTTGATCGAGGTTGAAGAGGAGTCTCGAAGGCAGATTCGATATCCTCTCGATATTCAAGGGAAAGAGAGTGGACGAGTATGAGCAGCGTCGATGCCCGGCGAAGCAAGAGAGGGTATCCTTGTTCCGGAAGTGAGGGACGATTGTCGCCCCGAGCGCGACGCTATACGAGGTGATTCGAGGTACGTTTCCACGGGGCAGGGAGGAACAATCCGGAGATAATCTGAGAGACAACAGGACAGTACCTCGTCGAATGAGACGATGGTGATGAAGATTTCCGCGGTCGAGGCTGGCGTTCCTTTACTAAGCGCCGTCGGTCCGCGCTGCGTCGTCAAGCAGGCCACGGTGAAACGATGCGTCGCGGCGCTGCTTCTCGTCTCCGTCGCCAGTATATTTTATTACACGCATTATATCATCAGCAGCCCGCTGTCCAGGTGAGTGAAATGAATTCTGGGACGGTATATATTTTTCTGGATAAGTAAAGTAAAAGTTTCCATTTTTTTAAATGGAAATGGAGCGAGTTTGTTCGGGACGTGTTTGTTAAATTAAGATATTTTTCATTATATATTTTGGTTATGTGTGCAGTGATACGCTTAAAAGATAATGGAGAATTAAATTTAGGAAAATTTTTTACTCTTAAATTTTGTAAATTATGAATAAAAGTATGATTGTATACACCTATATATTTTTGTGTCATATCATCGTATCGTTTCGTGTTACTGGGCGATAGATCTAGCGTTAGGGCAAGTTTTAACGAGATTTTTAGAAATAAAGTATGATTTATTAGTCTGGCGGATAATGAATTACCGATTGTCGAGTTGATTATTATTAATAATAATGCTTTTTTTCTTTTTTTTTTAGATTCTTCTTTTTATTTTTTATTAGATCTGTTATTAATTATACGAAAATTCTCTTTTTATTTATTTTTTTATCATTTTTTTGTCTGGCTAAATTAAAAAATGCAGGGAAATATATTCTTCACTTCAAATATTATTATTTAATAAAATACGTAACTTAAAATAAAATTTTTCCAATATATGCTCATTCACGTGTATTAAAAGGTATTGAGAGGTAGTTCGATGAATTGAAATTCATTTCTGAACTGGAAAAACATCGGTATGACTGTAGTAATTAAATCTCTCGAAAGATTTATTAATACAAGAGAATTTTTTTTTTTTAAAAATAAGTTAATAAGTTTTAAACATTTTTTCGTGATGAAAATGAATTAATTGTAATAAATATTTTTCAGTTAAAGAATTATAAAAAATTAATTATTTTTATAACTTTTAATTTTATAAAAGTTGATGAAAAAATTATTATTGAGGAAATGGAAAAAAATATGAAATTTTTTAGAAAATTAAAAAAATATTAATTTTAGTTGATTCGATAAGCAAAATTAACAAGACACAGAATTATTGGAAATTTTAAAAAATATTTCTGTTTTATATAAAAGAAATTACGCTTTAATAAATTAGTAATATCAAAATCTATTCCAGTAATCAAATTTTCACAGTTTCACAGGAAGGGAAATATAACATTGAATTAATAGATTATTATTGTTCACAAAAGAAATAATTTCATTAAAATCATCTCGGTTTGTTCGATTAATATTATATAAATCAAATGTCAAATTTATGAACTTCCATATATTTGCAATACAATTTTAAAAATGAATCTCTATTAAATTTATGTTAAAACTCAAAATGTATACGTATTTTTAAAAAAGTATCAATTTTTCTATAAAATATTATTTAATTGAAGAATAAAAAAAAATAACGATCATTCTCGAAATAGGATTAATTTTATAACATGAAAAGAAACGAATTTTATGAACTCGAGAAAAGATTTTAGACACGAAGTACGATGAATAACAAATATGATTGATTCAGCGATAAAATTTTCTGACCACAAACGATAAATAATATTTGCCACGCACGAAACGAGTTATTACGCGCTATGTATGAGAAACGTGACAGAGTCTCTAAATGTCCAGGAACGATTTATTCCCCTGATACGAAATCGAAAATCTCGGGTGACGATCGGCCGATTGCGACTCTTTGAAGTCGTTGCGTGCTTGTTATCTTAATAGAAATAATTTTGAATTAAATTTAAAATTGCATGTAATTCTTGTTTTTGATCGATAGAATTGGATTTAAAGAATGAACGAAACGCAGGTGATATTACGTTTTATTAAATATAAGAATATCATGATATTCGATGTATTCTTTAATGTGTTATTAAGATCACTACCTTGAGCCGTGTTGTAAAGATTTTATTGGTATTCATTAAAAAGTTACCAACAAAAACGTTTCTTCGAAACAGTTTAAATTAGGTTAAATCAGATTAGTTTTAATCAGGTTCGTCGCTACAGACAATTGATAGTCTGTTGTCTCGTGATAATCTGATTAAAAAAACTAGCCCAAATCTAATACAAACCATTTAATCGACTCACATTTAAACGAATTTTTATTTAATTTAAGTTCGAAGCGAGATTAAACTTAAAATTAAATTAATTAATGTCAAAGTGAAATTTAATTTCTGGTTTCGTGATTTATATTGAGCTTAGATTAATAACTTTTTAATAAAACTACAATTGCCAAGTAAAATCTTTACTCTTTCGATGATCTTACAACGTATTAAAAAAATCATCGAGATCAGAAATATTTTATAAACATTTACCAAACAAATTTTATAATTTCTCTAAAAGATGCATATTATCAACATTTCTTTTTTCTTATGAATCTCTATATTCATCGTATATATAGCTGTCAATTCTAAAATAAAAATTGATTTCAATACTTTATCAGGTAAAAGAAAAATTTAAAAAATCGCCAATATCCTTCCGCATATTCGAAATATCTTTCCATTAATCTCCCCAAAAATCTGCCTTTCAAACCATCCGCTCTGTACTCCTATTACCTGGAATGAATCTTCCCCTTAAACGTTTCCCAAAATCCTCGCCCTGTTCATCCTCAATTTTCCTCAATCTTGGCAACGATCGCCTCAGTTCTTGGACTCGTCCGACTAGTTGCAGGGTTAATTCGGGAAGACGAATAACCCCACGGGCCAAACGTTCGCCTCGGCTCGATATGGACCCAATCTAGGTTCAGATAACCCGAAGGCAACGGCCCAGTGATTACATCTCCCTCATAGAGCGTGCGAAAGTGAGAGCATTCTGGAAATTCGGCGTTATATTTCGACGCGGGGGCGCAATTACGTAACGCCAAATTGTTGCTGGCAGTTGCTCGACTGCGCGGTTTCCTTCGGGCTCCTGTATCTTATTAATTTAAATATAAATTATTAATTGCGCGGCAATATAGCGCGCGCCAAAATTTTTCTGCCCTTAAGTTAACTTAACCGTATCACTCTTCATGAGATCCTGCGATAGTTGGATCTTAGAATTTTTGTATCGATGTATTTTTAATGAATGTTTTTTTGAACAATATACAATTAAGTGAAATAGAATCGAGGTCAAGGAGAAGTCAAAATATTTTAGTATTTTAATATAAGAGAAAATATTATCTGAATATTTAAATTGCTTGCATTTATTTTATTATGTCGTTTAATTTGTATTTCATTTTATTCACGCAATGCTTTATTTATGTTTCTCTTTGAATTTGAAAATTTATTCCTCTTAAGCAACAAATAATGGATATATAATTTTGTGAATTATTTATGATGAAATGAATTGTTATATAGAAAATTATATACAAATTTATGAATTATTCTCGAGAACTTGTAATGATGAATACACTAGATGAATTGAAAATATTTGTCAAAAATAATAATAAACAATTTGTTAAAAATTATCTAATCGTACATTGAGTTCTCTAACAAATTTAAAAAAAGAAATAGTAGAATTCGAAGAGAAAAATTTTGAAAAAATTGCAAATCTAAAAGATACGCACTATTATTAAAAGAATATAATCGTTCGATTTAATTTAATTTTAATCAAATAATCGATCGAGTAATCGATATCCTTAGATACGCGATTGATCAGACCTTGGACTGATCCTAGACAGGTGGGTGAACAGCTTTTCGGTTAATTGATATAGTGCTTTACCTCGACACGGATCAATCTTAATAGATAACCTATGACCGTTCTGCAAGCAATTGTAGGTTCGCAGTAAACCATCGTCAATCACGAAACCTAATACTCTCGCGTGGACATTGACATGTAATTTCGCATCGACGTGGCCAGAACCACGAATCTGTCTGTATTGCCTTCGAGCCCGCGCCCACCCTTGAGCTTTGCAATATTCCAAATCACGCTCGCTCGAAATCCCCGATTTGCCAGGCTTAGATATTCCAGAAACCCTTACATGTATAGGCTGCCAATTAACGCAATTCCGATATTTAAGTTAAAAGGTAAATAACAGTGCCGTGACAAGTATTACTCGGATTCATGTTTGGAAAAGTGAGTGATTGCAATACGTATCTTCTAGAGAATTTCGTCTCGAGGATTCGGTTATTTGTGATTTGAAAAAATTTAAATGATTTTGTGGATGATTTTTTTAAAGATCGGTGCGATGAATTTTTTTTCGATTAGAAAACTTGTTTTAAATTTCGCGCCTTATATTATCATCCCTTCTGAGAGAAGGTATTTAAGTTTTTCATTTTGTGCAAAGTAAATAGATTTTGTAATGGAGTATCTTTATGCGTGTCGATATGAAAAGGAATTCTGAGGAAGAAAATTTCTTCTTTGAGCTAACTTAGGCGATAAATGGAAAAAATTAATTCTGAAATTGATGCAAATAGACAATTGAGGCTAAACAGAAATGCAAACATTCGTGAAGATAAGTTTCCTCGAAAATACCAATAGATTCATTTAAGCTATTATAGATCATCAAAGAATAATACTTTTTTAATTTGTTTTCCAATTTTCTGCGATTTCTTTACAAACAGACGTATTCATATTTCTCTGTTGATATTTATTAAAGAATCGCTTATCTTCCATAATGAAATGTATATAATAAATAAAATAATAAATAAAACTGATGAATAAAACAGAAATATATTATATACTAGTTCATTATCACTTTAATTCAATATATTTCTCTGTCCACAACGTATCCAATCGAATCCAAAGGATCGATATCACGTTTAAATATACAAGATCGAAAATCTTTGTACAATACGATTTGCATTAAGAAGAGAGAAGTGCATTCTCGGTCATGGGACGCGAAATGCGGCCGGATGTTTGTCGCACGTTCAATCAACTCCAATTCAATCTTCTCTTCTCGGCCAGTCCCTTACATCGGCGCTAAGCCATAATCGTCATCCTTTCTTTTGCACCGTATCTTTTTCTGCCGAGGCTATTATTAAAATCAATTCACCGTGACATCGATATTTTCGGTATATTTTAAACAGACTCGTTCAATTTTGCCTGATATTCAAGATTTGGGCATGTTAAGTTTTGTAAGAATGAATTTTA